ATGGAGGAATGTCAACACATAAACTAACACATGCTGATGGAGGAATGTCAACACATAAAAACTAACACATGCTGAACACATAAAACTAAACATGATGGAGGAATGTCAACACATAAACCTAACACATGCTGATGGAGGAAATGTCAACCACATAAATAAACCAATAAACTGTCAACACATAAACTGATTGAGGAATTGTCAACACATAAAACTAACACATGCTGATGGAGGAATGTCAACACATAAAACTAACACAATAAAACTGATGGAGGAAATGTCAACACATAAAAACACATGCTAAGGAATTGTCACACATGCTGCTGATGGAGGAAGGAATGTCAACACATAAACTAACACATGTGATGGAGGAATGTCAACACATAAACTAAACACATGCTGATGGAGGAATGTCAACAAACATAAACTAACACATGCTGATGGAGGAATGTCAACACATAAACTAACACATGCTGATGGAGGAATGTCAACACATATAAACTAACACATGCTGATGGAGGAATGTCAAAACATAAACTAACACTATGCTGATGGAGGAATGTCAACCACATAAACTAACACATGCTGATGGAGGAATGTCAACACATAAACTAACACATGTGATGGAGGAATGTCAACACATAAACTAACACATGCTGATGGAGGAATGTCAACACATAAACTAACACATGCTGATGGAGGAATGTCAACACATAAACTAACACATGCTGATGGAGGAATGTCAACACATAAACTAACACATGCTGATGGAGGAATGTCAACACATAAACTAACACATGCTGATGGAGGAATGTCAACACATAAACTAACACATGCTGATGGAGGAATGTCAACACATAAACTAACACATGCTGATGGAGGAATGTCAACACATAAACTAACACATGCTGATGGAGGAATGTCAACACATAAACTAATACATGCTGATGGAGGAATGTCAACACATAAACTAACACATGCTGATGGAGGAATGTCAACACATAAACTAACACATGCTGTTGGAGATCGCAGGTTGTGAAGAGGCATCATCACCCACACCAGTTGGCAAGACACTGGATGATGATGATTTCCTCACTGACTACAGACTAGATGCTGAAATCAACACGGGCTACCACCAGGGCTGGGGTTCCATGGACCCTGACAAAGTATTGTGATGATGTGCACTTAGAGGAGGTATTCCACACACACACAGTTACTGGCACTTGACAGTAGGTCTCAAACTCTATAAGATTCCAGAGCCCATTCTGGGAGGTGAGTGGTGGGGGGATAGACCCACTGCCTCCCAAACAAGCATGTTGTGAAAATTTTCCTTTCAAGTCAAAACACATCTGCCTGAGTGGCAAGGAACCAACGGTCTGCATACAAGAAGGTGACTACCTGTAAAATGTATGTGCATGCAAAACTCAATTTCTGGAACAACCATGAAGTCCAGAAGTGGATGAACAATCTGAACTTTCCACCAGAGTTTACAGACAGTGAACACGAAGAAAAGAAGAATCAAGCAAATGGTAACTCCCATTTTTCTTTGGTAAAACCCCACTTCAAGATATATATAATCATAATTATTTAAGTGTATGTAGAATGCAGAGGTCAAAATAAGAATATGAAAAGCAAGCTTACCATTAACAGCACTGTCGTGAAATGATAGCTATTACGCATCGGTCTGTAAGGCTGATAACCTGTCTTACCTGTAATCTGCACAAAATTCAAACTTGGACTCGCCCAGAAATATATAGTCCCTTATATCTATATATATAGTCCTTTATTGGACAACATTATTATGTCTGCCTTTTCTGGTTACTTTAAATAAACTCCATTTTTAAATGTATATCTCTTGGAGATATATTAAGGGAGTTATTTGAGGTTTCGTGGAAACCGATTTACTCCTTGCCCAAGTATACAAGGGACTTCTTTTGTTACCAACGCCTGAAGTGTCTAAGTGACGCTATTCTCCTTGCCAGCTTCTCAAGCGTCCAGATGTGTTAATCTGTGCCTGTATAAATTTCACTTTTCAAGGCAATCTGGAATGTATCAGTTTTTACATATGCTTGGGTAAGTTAATTATAGTTTACGAGTACCTAGAATGATGTCTGTAAAGTAGTCACTGCTGTAGAGAAATCAGTATCGGCTGTGTGATCTCACTTAGTTTGACCGTTCTTGATCGCTAGAGAAGCGGATTCGAACGTAGACCTTCCCCTGTACAGACTAAATAGCTTATGCCCTCAATAAACCACCCATACTATTAAACTTAATACCCTTACAAGTATGTACGTTTTAAACTAACCAGAGAATCTGTACATACGAAATGGGGACAGAATTGGGTCAGGGCTTTGTTAATCAAAGTATGTGTGTGTTTGACCCAGATCGGTGGATGGTAAGACGGGCGGTTGGGAAAGCTAGTGAATGCAGGTACTGACAGTAAATATTGGTGTCTGTGTGCAGAGTGAGGGGGAGGGAGAGAGTGATATATGTGTTAGACACTTTATCTGTCTCCACTGTATATCTGACTTGCCTTCTCTTGCACTAAACAGACAGATAAATATAGGAGACTTATGTCTCTTGGTCTGGAGAGGCAATCTGAGGAATGAAACAGGAGAGCAGGGGGGAGTCAGCAGATGGGGGTTGATGACTGATGCTTGCTCTGTCTTTCCTGTCAAGATGTTACCCTCTTGGTGATGACTAATGTTGAGTTATTTTCTTGACAGGATGTATCTTTTGTGAAGAGCTGGCAGAAGTTTCACAGTCCAACCAACACCCACCAACCATCAAACCACCAAAAACAAACTGTTACCCACCAGCTAACACCTGTGAAGGTTCCTGACATCTCCAACATGTGGGAGATGGTACCTCAAACAGCTACCAGTGCTAGAGCTTAGTGTGGCTCAAAGACATTGTGTGTCCTTACTGGTGATAGAGACTTGCTAAATACCGGTACAGTTGCTGTGTCCTCTATGGTGAAGTACTCTTTCACTACCTGATCCAGTTGAGCAGAATTACCAGAGTCAAAGACAGTCGAATCATCAGGAGCTGAGGGAGGCATCATAGACAGAAAGAGGCTAAGTGCAGTTTGATGCCTTATGTGCTTTATTCCTCACAGCTCCTTGTGTCCAATGATGACAAGATGTCATCTCCAAGACCTTCTGTCTGTGTAGTATCTTTGTGATTTGGACATGATATCCTGAGATCTGGCATTTGTCTCACTTTTATATATCTATTTTATATTGATTACATGCATTCATTTTCATGGCTGACTTAGGTGTCTCTATTTCACCTTTTTAAGTGTTTAGCAGTTGTGTATGTATGTATCTTCATTATATGTGTTAACATGGTTATGATAATGAACTATCATAACCTGGGGGCTTTCTTTAGTAAGTAGTGGGGGTGTCCAGCCAAGTGTGCCTAGAAATATTGTATTTATATACTGATATATTTTGTAGTGCCAATACTTGAGTTGCCCTACTCCAGAGATAAGTTGATCGTATATTGGCCACGGGGAATCCCTTAGACCAATACGAGCCAAACGACTCAACATAATTATCTCTGAGTGCTGTTGGTTCTGAAGGAGAAATCCTTACATTAGGCACGCGACAGGAGTGATATGTGACAAGCACAAGGACATTTATGTAAGTCACCAGAAACTAAATCTAGACAAAACTTCAATATTTGGCCCTAATGTCTAAACAGTTTCACCTGATAGGTGAAAAACAGAGAAGGTAACTGAAACAATCAAAACAAACATTCATGAACTAGGGGCCTGTGCACAAATGTGACATCACAGAATCATTCATGTCAGGCTCAGGAGAGAAGAAAATGAATACCAGCAATTCAAAACGCGATGAAAAGACACTTGTGCTGGACAAGACACATTAATAGTGTAGTAAGGAAAGTCCTCCAACTGGAACCCACAGGGTTATTAAAATACAGGAAGACTTAAGCACATGTGGAGAGGATAGGGACAGAAATTAATAATATGGAAAGGCGTGGATAAATCAGACCTGTCATGGGTAAATTAAATTAGATCAGACATGGATAAATCAGACCAAACATGTGTAAACAGATCAATCATAGATAGATCAGACATGGATAAATCAGACCAAACATGTGTAAACAGATCAATCATAGATAGATCAGACATGGATAAATCAGACCAAACATGTGTAAACAGATCAATCATAGATAGATCAGACATGGATAAATCAGACCAAACATGTGTAAACAGATCAATCATAGATAGATCAGACATGGATAAATCAGACCAAACATGTGTAAACAGATCAATCATAGATAGATCAGACGTGGATAAATCAGACCAAACATGTGTAAACAGATCAATCATAGATAGATCAGATGTGGATAAATCAGACCAAACATGTGTAAACAGATCAATCATAGATAGATCAGACATGGATAAATCAGACCAAACATGTGTAAACAGATCAATCATAGATAGATCAGACATGGATAAATCAGACCAAACATGTGTAAACAGATCAATCATAGATAGATCAGACATGGATAAATCAGACCAAACATGTGTAAACAGATCAATCATAGATAGATCAGACGTGGATAAATCAGACCAAACATGTGTAAACAGATCAATCATAGATAGATCAGACATGGATAAATCAGACCAAACATGTGTAAACAGATCAATCATAGATAGATCAGTCATGGATAAATCAGACCAAACATGTGTAAACAGATCAATCATAGATAGATCAGTCATGGATAAATCAGACCAAACATGTGTAAACAGATCAATCATAGATAGATCAGACATGGATAAATCAGACCAATCATGTGTAAACAGATCAATCATAGATAGATCAGTCATGGATAAATCAGACCAAACATGTGTAAACAGATCAATCATAGATAGATCAGTCATGGATAAATCAGATCAATCATAGATAAATCAGATAAATCCTGGATAAATCAGATCTGGTAACAACTAACTTTCAGAGAGCCAAGACTCCTACCTTGTTGAGATGTCGCTGTGTACTGCCATGAACTGTCTTGACTGTGTCATACGCTGTCAGTGGGCTGGTGAACATCTGACATCTCTTGGCTACCAACCTCTTCTTGGTGTCTGTCAGACTAACAAATATACCTCAGGTCAAGATTGTCTTTCTCTGGACGATTACACAACCAACTAACAAATATATCTCAGGTCAAGATTGTCTTTCTCTGGACGATTACACAACCAACTAACAAATATACCTCAGGTCAAGATTGTCTTTGTCTTTCTCTGGACGGTAACACAGCCTTCTTCTTCTTCTTCTTCTGCATTCGACATCAGTCATGCTAAACATTGAGTCCCGTCTGGGTCACAAATAGGATTGTGCGTTTAAGGTCGCCACCGGTCCCCCATAGCTTCTCTTTCAATGTGGCTCCCTTGGGCCAGATCCAGTCTTTGCTGGGAGAGGTAAGGGCAGTACTGTAGTATGTGCCCAGGGGTCTGTCTTTCTGCTCCACAATCACAGGCAGCAGATTCTTTTATGCCTATCCTGTACAGGTGTGCTCGAAGATTGTCTTTCTCTGGACGGTAACACAACCAACAACTAACAAATATACCTCATGTCAAAATTGTCTTTCTCTGGACGATAACACAACCAACAACTAACAAATATACCTCATGTCAAAATTGTCTTTCTCTGGACGGTAACACAACCAACAACTAACAAATATACCTCATGTCAAAATTGTCTTTCTCTGGACGGTAACACAACCAACAACTAACAAATATACCTCATGTCAAAATTGTCTTTCTCTGGACGGTAACACAGCCAACAACTAACAAATATACCTCGTGTCAAGATTGTCTTTCTCTGGGCAATAACACAGCTTAGGCACATTGTGACACAATAGGGTCAGACAGTCGTCACAGTTTGGTTACATTGTGATATAAGAGGGTCAGACAGTCGTCACAGTTTAGTCACATTGTGATATAAGAGGGTCAGACAGTCATCACAGTTTAGTCACATTGTGATATAAGAGGGTCAGACAGTCGTCACAATAGAGTCTGGAGAAAAGTTGTCACAACCTGGAAGCTCCATGGTATAAGAGACAGGGGAAGACAATGCTGGATGAGTTTGCACAGAAGTCTATCAACAGTCAAACTTATCCACAACAAAGAAGATATGTTTCTGGGGAACAACAATGATGATATCTAGGAGAGAGAACTACTTGCTTCAGTATGGTATCAACAACTCTGTCACCAACGTACATTAGTCATTTCTTTCACTGTTGGTCAACTTGTCAAATTGTTAACTGTTGGTCAACTTGTCAAATTGTTAACTGTTAGTCAACTTGTCAAATTGTTAACTGTTGGTCAACTTGTCAGATTGTTAACTGTTGGTTGTTGGTCAACTTGTCAGATCGTTAACTGTTGGTCAACTTGCCAGATTGTTAACTGTTGGCCAACTTGTCAAATTGTTAACTGTTGTTCAACTTGTCAGATTGTTAACTGTTGGTCAACTTGTCAGATTGTTAACTGTTGGTCAACTTGTCAGATTGTTAACTGTTAGTCAACTTGTCAAATTGTTAACTGTTGGTCAACTTGTCAGATTGTTAACTGTTAGTCAACTTGTCAAATTGTTAACTGTTGGTCAACTTGTCAGATTGTTAACTGTTAGTCAACTTGTCAAATTGTTAACTGTTGGTCAACTTGTCAAATTGTTAACTGTGAGTCAACTTGTCAAATCTTTAAGTAAGTCTTGGTCAACCTAGCAACTTTTTTTTAAAACACAGTTTGCCACTCAATGCACAGTGACCGCACTATTTTATTTTCTGGTGTGCTGACAAACAATCACAAAATGTCCCTCTAGCTGATAAACCTGGTTGCAATATGTGAGTGGGCACTAAGGGGGCTGTAGCTACCTGCTCCACTCTCTGACAAACTTGTGCAGAAGTCGCAGGTGACGAGGCTGCTGCAGAACCTGGGGCAGTTCGTCTGTGTTGTCCAGCTCAAGATCTATGGGCTGGAAACTTGCTTGCAAGAACTGCTCATTCTGTAACAGTAAACAAAATGAAATCAACATCACGGACTGGATGCTGCCTTCAGTTATACAATATAAATCCGAAAACTCAACAAGACTAGAAGAATGCCACTCCCTCCGAGACGGACAAGTAGAACACCTTGTGAAAACATGTAAACACCACTATATGGCATTGGGCCAAAGGGCAAAAACTCATCTACCCCTGGATCGATAACAACAACAACAAAGCCCTGAGGCTCCTACCATTTTAAATGTAACCAGCTAATCTCAGCAACTGTAAAATATATACACCTTTGAAATATCTGGATAATGGAAATTTATTGTCCTTTAATGTTTATTTTTAATGAGAAAAGAATGTGTTTGCACAATCACAGAAACTTTCTCATATAAATCTCTAAAAGTCTTCTTGTTATACAACTAAATAATTTTTTCTCTTCATTTCCCAACAGCAAAACCACTGATTAAACGTTGGCTAAGCTGATTATTTTATTCAATTTCAAAATGCTACAACATGATAGAATAAATAAAATCCTGAGATACTGTACCCAAAATAAAATTAGAAATTTTTTTAGGGTAAAGATGTGAAGTATATTACAAGAAAAAGGCATTTAAAATATATTAAAAAGAAAACTGAATTTGTGGAAAAGGAGGGGGGGAGGTTGTGAGGCCCTTGCAGACTGTGAAGCCCTAATCTTAGCTTCTTTAACTTATACCTAATTCCGACATAATTGATGGACAAAGATAGAACATCTCCCATCAGTAACTGTCAATTAACATTAGATGCAGTAAAACAAACCAGGTATAGGACATTCTAATTCAGCTCATAGAAACATCTCATACAAAGCTTATCTATCCCCACTTGATGCTACCAGAGTCAGACATGTGGCAAAGCACAACATCTCATACAAAGCTTATCTATCCCCACTTGATGCTATCAGTGTCAGACATGTGGCAAAGCACAACATCTCATACAAAGCTTATCTATCCCCACTTGATGCTACCAGTGTCAGACATGTGGCAAAGCACAACATCTCATACAAAGCTTATCTATCCCCACTTGATGCTACCAGTGTCAGACATGTGGCAAAGCACAACATCTCATACAAAGCTTATCTATCCCCACTTGATGCTACCAGTGTCAGACATGTGGCAAAGCACAACATCTCATACAAAGCTTATCTATCCCCACTTGATGCTACCAGTGTCAGACATGTGGCAAAGCACAACATCTCATACAAAGCTTATCTATCCCCACTTGATGCTACCAGTGTCAGACATGTGGCAAAGCACAACATCTCATACAAAGCTTATCTATCCCCACTTGATGCTACCAGTGTCAGACATGTGGCAAAGCACAACATCTCATACAAAGCTTATCTATCCCCACTTGATGCTATCAGTGTCAGACATGTGGCAAAGCACAACATCTCATACAAAGCTTATCTATCCCCACTTGATGCTACCAGTGTCAGACATGTGGCAAAGCACAACATCTCATACAAAGCTTATCTATCCCCACTTGATGCTACCAGTGTCAGACATGTGGCAAAGCACAACATCTCATACAAAGCTTATCTATCCCCACTTGATGCTACCAGTGTCAGACATGTGGCAAAGCACAACATCTCATACAAAGCTTATCTATCCCCACTTGATGCTACCAGTGTCAGACATGTGGCAAAGCACAACATCTCATACAAAGCTTATCTATCCCCACTTGATGCTACCAGTGTCAGACATGTGACAAATCACAACATCTCATACAAAGCTTATCTATCCCCACTTGATGCTACCAGTGTCAGACATGTGGCAAATCACAACATCTCATACAAAGCTTATCTATCCCCACTTGATGCTACCAGTGTCAGACATGTGACAAATCACAACAGACCATACAAAGCTTATCTATCCCCACTTGACGCTACCAGTGTCAGACATGTGGCAAAGCACAACATCTCATACAAAGCTTATCTATCCCCACTTGATGCTACCAGTGTCAGACATGTGGCAAAGCACAACATCTCATACAAAGCTTATCTATCCCCACTTGATGCTACCAGTGTCAGACATGTGACAAAGCACAACAGACCATACAAAGCTTATCTATCCCCACTTGATGCTACCAGTGTCAGACATGTGGCAAATCACAACAGACCATACAAAGCTTATCTATCCCCACTTGATGCTACCAGTGTCAGACATGTGGCAAATCACAACATCTCATACAAAGCTTATCTATCCCCACTTGATGCTACCAGTGTCAGACATGTGGCAAATCACAACATCTCATACAAAGCTTATCTATCCCCACTTGATGCTACCAGTGTCAGACATGTGGCAAAGCACAACATCTCATACAAAGCTTATCTATCCCCACTTGATGCTACCAGTGTCAGACATGTGGCAAAGCACAACATCTCATACAAAGCTTATCTATCCCCACTTGACGCTACCAGTGTCAGACATGTGGCAAAGCACAACATCTCATACAAAGCTTATCTATCCCCACTTGATGCTACCAGTGTCAGACATGTGGCAAAGCACAACATCTCATACAAAGCTTATCTATCCCCACTTGATGCTACCAGTGTCAGACATGTGGCAAAGCACAACATCTCATACAAAGCTTATCTATCCCCACTTGATGCTACCAGTGTCAGACATGTGGCAAAGCACAACATCTCATACAAAGCTTATCTATCCCCACTTGATGCTATCAGTGTCAGACATGTGGCAAAAGCACAACATCTCATACAAAGCTTATCTATCCCCACTTGATGCTACCAGTGTCAGACATGTGGCAAAGCACAACATCTCATACAAAGCTTATCTATCCCCACTTGATGCTACCAGTGTCAGACATGTGGCAAAGCACAACATCTCATACAAAGCTTATCTATCCCCACTTGATGCTACCAGTGTCAGACATGTGGCAAAGCACAACATCTCATACAAAGCTTATCTATCCCCACTTGATGCTACCAGTGTCAGACATGTGGCAAAGCACAACAGACCATACAAAGCTTATCTATCCCCACTTGATGCTACCAGTGTCAGACATGTGGCAAAGCACAACATCTCATACAAAGCTTATCTATCCCCACTTGATGCTACCAGTGTCAGACATGTGGCAAAGCACAACATCTCATACAAAGCTTATCTATCCCCACTTGATGCTACCAGTGTCAGACATGTGGCAAAGCACAACATCTCATACAAAGCTTATCTATCCCCACTTGATGCTACCAGTGTCAGACATGTGGCAAAGCACAACAGACCTTACAAGACAATGAGTAACCCTGGAAATAAGATATGTGAGAAGGGCTGCAAGAACCAGGAATACAATCATAAGACAACACAGAAACAATTCTGAATTATGCAGACAGAAGCAAATCAAATAGTTTTCTTTCTTTGAGAGAATACCTTATGATGTCACACCATACAAAGTATACATCTAAAGAGGAGCGGGATGTGGAGCAAGAAGTAGACAATAAACAAGATCAAAAGATAATAACAGAACAAAATCTACACCAGTAGTATGTTCCTATGATGGGGTGGCCAGATAAAGAAGTAGCAAAACCTGATAACTGTCTGGTGAAAAATTTACCTCATCAAAGACAAATATCCTGCCAGTGTGGCTGCTACAGGTGAACTTCAGCACCGAGTACACGGCTCTGTCCCCTGCCATGTTAGTGTTTTCTTTGTCTGCATGACAACTGACACAAGACAAGGTCTCGCCACCTGGTGACAGAAACAGGTGACAACAATGATACAATATCTAGAGCTGTGGTGGTCTGGTCATTAGTGTGCTTGCTAACTGAAGATGTGGCTCAGGTTGAATCCCTGGTAGTGGCAGAAATCCTCTGTCTCCTGGCTGTACAACTCCAGGATGAGTCCAGCTTGTAGACTGGGTACCAGAATGTTCTAACAGGAATGTCACTGGTGACTCGATATCATTACATCTGGAGAACTAGCATCTTTTCAGATGATAGAATTACATTCTAGTGCAGGCAGGCATGAGAATCACAGCTCCCAGCACTAGCATCTCTTCAGATGATAGTATTACATTCTAGTACAGGCAGGTAGGAGAATCACAGCTCCCAGCACTAGCTTCTCTTCAGATGATAGTATTACATTCTAGTACAGGCAGGTAGGAGAATTACAGCTCCCAGCACTGGCATCTCTTCAGATGATAGTATTACATTCTAGTACAGGCAGGTAGGAGAACCACAGCTCCCAGCACTAGCTTCTCTTCAGATGACAGTATTACATTCTAGTACAGGCAGGTAGGAGAATCACAGCTCCCAGCACTAGCTTCTCTTCAGATGACAGTATTACATTCTAGTACAGGCAGGTAGGAGAACCACAGCTCCCAGCACTAGCTTCTCTTCAGATGACAGTATTACATTCTAGTACAGGCAGGTAGGAGAATCACAGCTCCCAGCACTGGCATCTCTTCAGATGATAGTATTACATTCTAGTACAGGCAGGTAGGAGAACCACAGCTCCCAGCACTAGCTTCTCTTCAGATGACAGTGTTACATTCTAGTACAGGCAGGTAGGAGAATCACAGCTTCCAGCACTAGCTTCTCTTCAGATGATAGTATTACATTCTAGTACAGGCAGGTAGGAGAACCACAGCTCCCAGCACTAGCTTCTCTTCAGATGACAGTATTACATTCTAGTACAGGCAGGTAGGAGAATCACAGCTCCCAGCACTGGCATCTCTTCAGATGATAGTATTACATTCTAGTACAGGCAGGTAGGAGAACCACAGCTCCCAGCACTAGCTTCTCTTCAGATGACAGTATTACATTCTAGTACAGGCAGGTAGGAGAATCACAGCTCCCAGCACTGGCATCTCTTCAGATGATAGTATTACATTCTAGTACAGGCAGGTAGGAGAACCACAGCTCCCAGCACTGGCATCTCTTCAGATGATAGTATTACATTCTAGTACAGGCAGGTAGGAGAATTACAGCTCCCAGCACTGGCATCTCTTCAGATGACAGTATTACATTCTAGTACAGGCAGGTAGGAGAATCACAGCTCCCAGCACTGGCATCTCTTCAGATGATAGTATTACATTCTAGTGCAGGCAGGTAGGAGAATCACAGCTCCCAGCACTGGCATCTCTTCAGATGATAGTATTACATTCTAGTGCAGGCAGGTAGGAGAATCACAGCTCCCAGCACTAGCATCTCTTCAGATGATAGTATTACATTCTAGTACAGGCAGGTAGGAGAATCACAGCTTCCAGCACTAGCTTCTCTTCAGATGATAGTATTACATTCTAGTGCAGGCAGGTAGGAGAATTACAGCTCCCAGCACTAGCTTCTCTTCAGATGATAGTATTACATTCTAGTGCAGGCAGGTAGGAGAATCACAGCTCCCAGCACTGGCATCTCTTCAGATGATAGTATTACATTCTAGTGCAGGCAGGTAGGAGAACCACAGCTCCCAGCACTAGCTTCTCTTCAGATGATAGTATTACATTCTAGTGCAGGCAGGTAGGAGAACCACAGCTCCCAGCACTAGCTTCTCTTCAGATGATAGTATTACATTCTAGTACAGGCAGGTAGGAGAACCACAGCTCCCAGCACTAGCTTCTCTTCAGATGATAGTATTACATTCTAGTACAGGCAGGTAGGAGAACCACAGCTCCCAGCACTAGCTTCTCTTCAGATGATAGTATTACATTCTAGTGCAGGCAGGTAGGAGAATTACAGCTCCCAGCACTAGCTTCTCTTCAGATGATAGTATTACATTCTAGTGCAGGCAGGTAGGAGAATCACAGCTCCCAGCACTGGCATCTCTTCAGATGATAGTATTACATTCTAGTGCAGGCAGGTAGGAGAACCACAGCTCCCAGCACTAGCTTCTCTTCAGATGATAGTATTACATTCTAGTGCAGGCAGGTAGGAGAATCACAGCTCCCAGCACTAGCATCTCTTCAGATGATAGTATTACATTCTAGTACAGGCAGGTAGGAGAACCACAGCTCCCAGCACTAGCTTCTCTTCAGATGATAGTATTACATTCTAGTGCAGGCAGGTAGGAGAATTACAGCTCCCAGCACTAGCTTCTCTTCAGATGATAGTATTACATTCTAGTGCAGGCAGGTAGGAGAATCACAGCTCCCAGCACTGGCATCTCTTCAGATGATAGTATTACATTCTAGTGCAGGCAGGTAGGAGAACCACAGCTCCCAGCACTAGCTTCTCTTCAGATGATAGTATTACATTCTAGTGCAGGCAGGTAGGAGAATTACAGCTCCCAGCACTAGCTTCTCTTCAGATGATAGTATTACATTCTAGTGCAGGCAGGTAGGAGAATCACAGCTCCCAGCACTGGCATCTCTTCAGATGATAGTATTACATTCTAGTGCAGGCAGGTAGGAGAATTACAGCTCCCAGCACTAGCTTCTCTTCAGATGATAGTATTACATTCTAGTACAGGCAGGTAGGAGAATCACAACTCCTAGCACTAGCATCTCTTCAGATGATAGTATTACATTCTAGTACAGGCAGGTATGAGAATCACAACTCCCAGCACTGGCAAATGTGATTAGTGGCTCGCTGGCGCGACGACAAGTCTTCCCCAATTAAAGCTTGCAATTTCAGGACCACTGTATTGTTGCCAGATTTATGTTGGTGTGTTTTCTCTTACGCACTCAGTTCTTGATCTATCCACAAACATTTTCTTCTTTGTCCTTTCTCCTTTGTGATTTCCAGCTCCACCCAGCAACATAATCCCCATCATCCTGCTCTCCTTTAACACACCTCTTTAGATTGTAGTAGAAGTGACTATTATAAGCCTAGAATATTATACACTTTAGTGGTGTCTTGCCCATACATGTGTTATGACAGTCCATATGTTACTACAGCCCATGTGTTACCACATTTCATGTGTTACAACAGCTCATATTTTACCAAAGCGCATGTGTTATCACAAAGCATATGTTACCACAGCCCTTGCATTACCACAGCCCATGTGTTACCACAGCCCCTGTGTTACCACAGCCCCTGTGTTACCACAGCCCCTGTTTTATCACAGCTCCTGTGTTACCATAGCCCATATGTTATCACACCCCCTGTGTTATCACAGCCCCTATGTTACCACACTCCCTGTGTTACCACACCCCCTGTGTTACCACACACCCTGTGTTACCACAGCCCATATGTTACCACATCTTCTGTGTTACCACAGCCCCTGTGTTACCACACCCCCTGTGTTATCACAGCCCCTGTGTTACCACAGCCCCTGTGTTATCACGGCCCCTGTGTTACCACACTCCCTGTGTTATCACAGCTCCTGTGTTACCACATCCCCTGTGTTATCACAGCCCCTGTGTCACCACATCCCCTGTGTTATCACGGCCCCTGTGTTACCACATCCCCTGTGTTATCACAGCCCCTGTGTCACCACATCCCCTGTGTTACCACACTCCCTGTGTTATCACGGCCCCTGTGTCACCACATCCCCTGTGTTATCACGGCCCCTGTGTTACCACACTCCCTGTGTTATTACAGCCCCTGTGTTACCACACTCCCTGTGTTATCACGGCCCCTGTGTTACCACATCCCCTGTGTCACCACATCCCCTGTGTTATCACGGCCCCTGTGTTACCACATCCCCTGTGTTATCACAGCCCATAAAGAAAGAAAACAATAACAACTCTACAACTTCCCCAAGCAGGTCACCAGAAGCCACTAGGGAGGACAACATGGTGCCCACTGACAAGACAGTCGGCAATATCATAACCATAAAAACATTAGTAACCAGGGAAAAGGGAGAAGGACTGGAAGAGTGACCAGAAGAGACACAATCAGGAATGGGGTCACAAGAGAACAAGTCAGCACACAACAGAAGTCTATATTAAACATAAAAACATCAAAAAAAATGATGTGCACACTTACAGATAATGCCTTGTGGTACCCTGTCAGATAAGGCGTACATCAAAAGAGGAGATGGACGTAGAGCACTAGGTATACCCCGAACAATATGGAAAGATAACCTCACAGACATTCTACAACAGCACAAGTGTATTTGGCATAGGCAGCCAGAAGCAGAACCTTGTATTTGCCTCTAGACCTGAAGCGGTAAGACAGGAAGTGAAGAAGAGGAAGAAGATTACTATCATGCTGAAATAACAAATGTTTTAAAAACAAACTAGAAGTCAGAAAACACTTTTACAATGTTGTTATAGTGGTGGAAAGACACTTGAAAATGTTGATCATTTGAAATGCCCACAAAGCTTGAATAGTGGACATAAATGTATTAAAAACCTTATGTGTAGTTACATGTATGAAGTGAATGGTAGAGAAGAAAGTATAAACAGGCTAAGCAGACATAGATACCAGAGTGCTGACACAATACCTGCAGTGACGGCAGGCTGGGGGTCAAATCTTGGAACCGGCTCTGCAGATGGGAACAAAGCAGCGGTAGATGACACTGACAATAGCTGCCTACACTGTGAAGTAGACCCACCATCATCCGCAGCTGACACAGACGAAGCAGGTGGTTTAGGTTTAAATCTCACATTTAAAGGTGCACAAAGTAAAAGTTTGTAATCCAAACTGTCAGTTTTGCTCTCAGGGTCTCCATCAATGAGAGAAGTCAATGTGTCAGGTATCTGATCTGTTTGGTACACTGATTTCTGTGATGTTGCCAAACAATTATCAAACTTGAGTAAGCTCTTGGTTGTCTTAGAGTCAGCTAACAACACAGAGTCTTCATGAGGTTCAGACTGTGATAAATTATGAACAGTCTTGAGATCGGATCTTGGTAGCAGATCCTCCGAGTCTTCAAACAAACTAGAAGTCTCACTACAAGTATTTCCTGTGACATCTCCAGCCTCCCTGAGTTGCTGGGGGCTGCGTGCCTGCTCTAGTGTAGTCAAAGTTGTGTCCAACTCTGGACTAGATGCATCTGTATCCACACAACCGCTTGGCTGAATACTTCCTCCTGTCTTCTTCTTGAGGTCAATATCTGCTTTAGTCTGACCTTTAGAGGTCACCAAACTACAGGGATAAGGTTTCACTTTAATAGTTGTGAACTCATCATTTCCACAAGGAAGTCTTTCAGAAGATGGCTTTGTCAGCTTGTTGCTGTGCTGGTTTCTGCCTGCTCTTTGTGACCACAAGCTTGAATCTGCATTCCTATCTTTGCTTGGAGAAGTCTTGTTCCGCACAGGTGACTCATAACTTGTTGGTATCTGGGAGCAGGCAAGAGAATGAGACCTAACATGTCTGCAGTAATCCTCTGGATGGACTAATCTACTGGCAGCACATTTCCGTGTTTCAGAAACAGGCTTGTTCTTTGCAGAAGTGTCAACGCTGCCAGTCTCTTGAGAGGAGATGTTCTTGGTGTCATGACCTTTGAGATGTCTGTGTCGCTGGGAAGCTGACTTTTTCTTTGGGGTATCACACATTTCACACTCTGGCAGCTCAGGGTGGTTGAAGAACGTGCACACATTACAGGACCACTGACTAGACCCAGCCTTGTCTACCATCCGCTGGTTCTCTTCTCTCAGGCAAGAATGTCTATTACACACTTCAGACATCAAGCTCTCCAAACCACCTGAATTATCACATGTAGGTGATGTAGCAACAGACTGTTGTCTGCTGGTATCCACTGGATTCGCTTGATCAGATGTGGCAATAGACAGTTGTTGGCTGGTATCCATTGGATTCCCTAGATCCAAACGACTGGCACCATCAGAATAGAGCATGCGCTGATTTTTATTTTTACTCTGCATTTGTGCATTGCCAGCCTGCATTTGCTTGAACTCTACATCTTTTAACAAATCACTGACCTGTGCTGCATCCTTGACCTCTGAACCCTTGACCTGTGCTGTATCTTTGACTTCTGCACCCATGACCTGTGCTGTATCTTCGACCTCTGAACCCTTGACCTGTGTATCTGAACCCAAAAACGTCCAGATGCTTGGACTGCTCTCCTCCAGCAACATGTCTGAAGGAACACAGCGACTAGTGTCTGATATCAATGAGCTGTTATCACTATCATCAGCCCCATCATACAGCACCTGTGATTCTCCATTCTCTACTCCACCGTCGGACCACTGAAGCAGTATCGTCTATTCCACTGCATGGGATCTCTGGTGCATTATCTGGATCCTCAAAGAAATGTAAATTAAAATTAGGAACAGCCTCACTGTAATCTGCCTCACCACCTCCATTGCAGTCACTCTGCCCATCCCTCACTTTCTTGCTATTTTTCTGCTTACACTTTTTAACACGTCTGATTTTTGCTTTCTTTGACCTCCTCGGAGATTTGAACTCGTCCTCTCCATCACTGATAGTTATCACTTCAGAGATTTTCAGCTCCAGTTTCTTCTTCCTTGTTGCCAGATCTGATGACTCTTGCTGCATAGTCTGAAGACTGTCTCTCAAAGAATGACTTCTTTGACCAACAGACGTTCTAGAGTCTGTCTCCTCCTGTGTCACAATCTTGTACTTCCTCTTGCGGGTCACTATGTTTTCTGGGCTCTGCTGAGAGGGGAAGAACTCCAAAATGGAGCTCTGGTCATGTGGCTGAAACGTAAGCAATACAAACATACATCAGCATAAACACAGTCACATACGCAGGCGTCGATGGAAATGAAAGAGCAGACAAGCTGGCTGGCTCCGCTGTCACTACCGACGGTCAGCCTATGGATCATGCTGATAATATCAATGCCCTCAGAGAAATGGGAAGGATAGAGGACTTTGGGGGCAGTGAATCCACATCACTCGCCAGAATGGCAGACTTGGGAATTAAGATCGGCATAGCAAAAAACAAGACGCACACCAGACACGCCAGAAGGCTTGTTAATCAACATAGAACTGGTACTTTTAGCCATCAGACGTTGGGGTTCATACTGAGGGGAGGATCTGAGCAACTATGGACATGTTCGGAGTGCAATGATAATAACCCAACTAACTAACTAACTAACTAACTAGCTAACTAACTACCTAACTAACTAACTAACTAACTAACTAACTAACTAACTAACTACCTAACTAACTAACTAACTAACTAACTAACTAACTACCTAACTAAACACAGTCAATGAACAGTTCTGTTGTTGACAAGACAGAGCGTGAAACCATGGTTTCTGACCAGTATCATTTGACGTGAGATTAGAAAAACATGATGACAGGTTCATCATTTTACAGACCAATTGGGCACTCGCTGGGTGATGTGTTCAAAGACTGTCTTTACTCTTTAGGACCATGCCTGATGCCCATTTTACATAGACTGAGAGCCAAAATCTATTTTTTTTCTTAAATCCAATACAATATGAACAAAATTTAACAATTAATAAGACCAACAAATTTTACAATTAATGAAACAAACAATATTTCACAATTAATGAGACCAAGATAAACATTTGCTCTTTTAGAAGTGGAAAATGTGGACTGAATTTGTTGACGTCTCAGTTGTAGAAACAGTTGTAGAAACAGTTGTAGAAACAGTTGTAGAAACAGTTGTAGATCTGTTGTGGAATTCTCATTTGAGAAACTGTGGTAGACCTAAGCATACACTGGAGATGTGAACAATGTGGGTATCATGGGAGATGTGAACAATGTGGGTATCATGGGAGATGTGAACAATGTGGGTATCATGGGAGATGTGAACAATGTGGGCATCATGGGAGATGTGAACAATGTGGGTATCATGGGAGATGTGAACAATGTGGGCATCATGGGAGATGTGAACAATGTGGGTATCATGGGAGATGTGAACAATGTGGGTATCATGGGAGATGTGAACAATGTTGGTATCATGTGAGATGTGAACAATGTGGGTATCATGGGAGATGTGAACAATGTGGGTATCATGGGAGATGTGAACAATGTGGGTATCATGGGAGATTTCAACAATGTGGGTATCATGGGAGTCAAGAGGCACCTACCCTTTGGGACTGAATCAGCTGGGTCACACTGACGTCACTTTGATCTTCCTCTGCCTTCCAGGCGTCAGCGTTAGACAACAGTTGTACCTGGTAGGACTCTCCTTCCCCGTGCTCCAGCTGCCGGCTGGTTCCAGTCAGGGTTGTACTTGTCACCAGGGTCTAGCAGAAAATGATCATTTGTTTCATTCACAACTTTCTATAACTGAGAGATTTATTCTTAGCGTTCACCAGCTGTCAATTCTGGCAGAAAGTTCTGGCTGTTTGTCTGCTCCAGGACTTTAGTCTTGTTCCAGACCCTGAGTTTTGTGTACATATCCATTTTACAGATCTGGCCTATTTGCATGCAGACTGCTGGTTCCTGGCCTATCAGGCAAATGCACTGCAATTTAGATGGAAACACCCCTAATTAGTCCCCTTGTATGACATGCTTTTAGGGGGCCGTGGGTCCCTCCCCCCCCCCCCCCCCCCCCCCAACTGATGACTCTTGCTGCATAGTCTGAAGACTGTCTCTTAAAGAAAGACTTCTTTGACCAACAGGCGTTCTAGAGTCTGTCTCCTCCTGTGCCACAATCTTGTACTTCCTCTTGCGGGTCACTATGTCCTCTGGGCTCTGCTGAGAGGGGAAGAACTCCAAAATGGAGCTCTGGTCATGTGGTTGAAACGAAAGCAATACAAACATACATCAGCATAAACACAGTCACATACGCAGGCGTCGATGGAAATGAAAGAGCAGACAAGCTGGCTGGATCCGCTGTCACTACCGACGGTCAGCCTATGGATCATGCTGATATTATTAATGCCCTCAGAGAAATGGGGAGGATAGAGGTCTTTGGGGGCAGTGAATCCACATCACTCGCCAGAATGGCAGACTTGGGAATTAAAATCGGCATAGCAAAAAGAGACTGTGTCACTGACTGCAGCAATAATTCATGCCTTATGACCACGACTTCTCAAATGGCAAAGGAATGGAGGGAGAATAAGGACAACTAAAGAAACCCTAAAATAGATGCTGATGGTTGATGAGAGAGGCCAAAGGAACTGGACTGGATTCCATCCATGATATCAAAGCACAGGATAGAACAGGATGGAGTGTGAGCCCTATGTGACATGCAATAGTGCAACAGGGCAATGATGATGATAAACACTTCCCATAAGTATGGTGAAATGGCTGTCCTGCCTCACTACTCTAGGGAGATAGGTATGAACCTTCCCATGCCCTTGATTTCTTCCTGTCAGGAGTAAAGATAATGTCAGCTAATATTACAGTCAACACAATTTAGCAAGTGAAAATGTTTGACTCCTCAAATATACAAGGGGCAAGTCAAAACTGTGAAATACTTCAAACATCCCGATAGAGTCCATTCACAATAATAGTATTTACTGTGTGTATATTTAATTATAGAACAGATATAGCAATACAGACTAACACACAAGTGTATACAAGAGTATCACAAACAATTTCTCATGGACCAATCAATACAGGTACATTGGAATGGCTGCTGCAGTCGAGGACTGAGCACACAGGGGAATGCCTAATGTGCAGTGATGTTAATTGTGAAAACATAAATACAAGTGTACTGAGGTAGACAAGACAGAACAAATTAGTCTGACACAGATAAAGATGACAGAGACAGTCAGTCGGAGAAAGACCCATCAATTACCAAACAAAGAAACAGATTCACACAGACATAGATATAGACATGTCAGCAGACATAAGGAGATACACAAGTGAAGAGATAGAGGAAGGAAACAGGTGGACTGACAGATGGATGGACTGGCAGATGGATGGACTGACTGTGAATGGACTGATAGATGAATGAACTGACAGATAAATGTATTGACGGATGAATTGACTAACAGATGAATGGACTGATGGATGAATGGACTGCACTGTTGGATGGATGGACTGATGAATGAATAGATGACAGATGGATGGACTGACAGATAATGGCAGATGGATGGACTGATAGATGATAACAGATAGATGGACTGATAGATGATGACAGATGGATGGACTGATAGATGATGACAGATGGATGGACTGATAGATGATGACAGATGAATGGACTGACAGATGATGACAGATGGATGGACTGACAGATAATGGCAGATGGATGGACTGATAGATAATGGCAGATGGATGGACTGATAGATGAATGGAGTGAATGAAGTACCAAGAATCATGACCAGAGCTGCTCACCTTCCTGCACACAGAAGACCACACCCACTCATCCATGGTATCCCTGGCAACCAGGTAATGGACAGGTAAGCTGCAGGTTTGCCCTATTCTGTGAGCCCTGTCCTCACACTGAAGCATCACTCCAGGTGTCCAGTACAATTCAGCAAATACAACTAGTTTGGCCGCGGTCAGCGTCAGACCCTGGAATTCAGTAGTTTCAGGGCGTACCAAAACATGTAAGCCATTTGTTTAATTTTTTTATCAAGTATAGAGTGTACATTTATTTTATTGTTTGCTCCTGTAACTGTTTTTCAAGTAAGTTTACGTTGAGAATGCACTGCAGCCGTGCCAGTAGCATTGTTTTCTGAATAGACCTGCATCCAGAACTGTTCTTGGCTTCCTTCCCGGTGTTTCTGTTGTAAACTGCTCATCTCAAGCAGGTTTTGAAAAAAACTCTTTATTATTGCCGGGGCACCCCTAGCATACGCTCGCGGCACCCCTCGCATAGGCTCGCGGCACCCCTAGCATACGCTCGCGGCACCCCTCGCATAGGCTCGCGGCACCCCTCGCATAGGCTCGCAGCACCCCCCCCTCGCAAACGTCCGCGGCACCCATGGGTGCTTTGGCACCCAGTTGAGAACGGCTATATTGATGTATAAGTAAAATATAAACCCAATCTGTACATAAGATCTTGTTCCAGATAATCCTTTAAAGCATCATAACAGAGCATCACTATTTGACTTCCTAAAACAATCAGTATCTTCATACAAAACAAAGTTTATAAAACAATTCGCCTGTAATTTTGTAGCTGTTTCACATAAAAAGTGGAATAGCACTAGAACTAACTGACACTGAAGAAAATGGCTTTTTCACTAATATTGATTCTATTTGTGCCAGCTGACTGTCCTACCACTGTGTTCCCTTTTGGCCAAACATATCTAACTTCAGCAACACCTTAGTTAGTTGCCTCATGTTTGTGTGCGCGTGCGTCTGAGTCATGCCGCCCCCCCCCCCCCCCCCCCTGGACCTTTGAACCCGCGCAAGCAACAAGAAGTACCAACTGCTGGCCAACCTTTGAAGCTGGTAAAACAACATGAGAGATAAGCTGACTGGTACTGGCTGCTGTAGAGAGAGGAAACATTGGCTTCTCTGATCTCTGATTTCCTTGAACTACTTCTAAGGCTGCTGGCCAACCTTTGAAGCTGGTAAAACAACATGAGAGATAAGCTGACTGGTACTGGCTGCTGTAGAGAGAGGAAACATTGGCTTCTCTGATCTCTAAAAACCTTGAACTACTTCTAAGGCTGCTGGCCAACCTTTGAAGCTGGTAAAACAACATGAGAGATAAGCTGACTGGCACTGGCTGCTGTAGAGAGAGGAAACTGGCTTCTCTGATCTCTGATTTCCTTGAACTACTTCTAAGGCTGCTGGCCAACACCCACATGTACATGTCTCATTCAAACATGGTACTAGAAACACACACACACAAAGTACACCAGACAGAAGGATTTGACCTGCCACTCACCACACCAGCAGCCAGGATACTCAAGATGGCCACCCTGGTCTCTGGGTCCGACTGAAACTGGTTGACACATGCCTGTGAACAAATCCAGTAGAGAACAGGTCAGTGACAATGATCTGGAGATGAGGAGATCAGGAGATCACGAGATGAGGTGATCAGGAGATCAGGTGATCAGGAGATCAGGTGATTAGGAGATGAGGTGTTCAGGTGATGAGGTATTCAGGAGATGAGGTGTTCAGGTGATCAGGAGATGAGGAGTTCACGAGATCAGGTGATCAGGAGATCAGGTGATCAGGAGATGAGGTGTTTAGGAGATGAGGCGTTCAGGTGATCAGGAGATGAGGAGTTCACGAGATCAGGTGATCAGGAGATCAGGTGATCAGGAGATGAGGTGTTCAGGAGATGAGGTGTTCAGGTGATCAGGAGATAAGGTGTTCAGGAGATGAGTTGTTCAGGAGATGAGGAGATGAGGAGATCAGGTGATCAGGAGATGAGGTGTTCAGGTGATCAGGAGATGAGGTGTTCAGGTGATCAGGAGATGAGGTGTTCAGGTGATCAGGAGATGAGGTGTTCAGGAGATGAGGAGATCAGGTGATCAGGAGATGAGGTGATCAGGAGATGAGGTGTTCAGGTGATCAGGAGATGAGGTGTTCAGGTGTTCAGGAGATGAGGTGTTCAGGTGATCAGGAGATGAGGTGTTCAGGAGATCAGGAGATGAGGTGTTCAGGAGATGAGGTGATCAGGAGATCAGGTGATCAGGAGATGAGGTGTTCAGGTGATCAGGAGATGAGGAGTTCAGGTGATCAGGAGATGAGGTTTTCAGGTGATCAGGAGATGAGGTGTTCAGGAGATCAGGAGATGAGGAGATCAGGTGATTAGGAGATCAGGAGATGAGGAGATCAGGTGATCAGGAGATGAGGTGATCAGGTGATCAGGAGATGAGTTGATCAGGAGATGAGTTGATCAGGAGATGAGGAGATCAGGTGATCAGGAGTTGAGGTGTTCAGGAGATGAGGTGTTCAGGTGATCAGGAGATGAGGTGTTCAGGAGATGAGGTGTTCAGGTGATAAGCAGATGAGGTGTTCAGGAGATGAGGTGTTCATTTGATCAGGAGATGAGGTGTTCAGGAGATGAGGAGATCAGGTGATCAGTAGATGAGGTGTTCAGAAGATTAGGAGATCATGTGATCAGGAGATGAGGTGTTCAGGTGATCAGGAGATGAGGTGTTCGGGTGATCAGGAGATGAGGTGTTCATGTGATCAGGAGATGAGGTGTTCAGGAGATCGGGAGATTAGGTGATCAGGAGATCAGGAGATGAGGAAGAAGACCAGGAGATGAGGAGATCAGGATATCAGGAGATGAGGAGATCAGGATATCAGGAGATGAGGTGTTCAGGAGATGAGGTGTTCAGGTGATAAGGAGATGAGGTGTTCAGGAGATGAGTTGTTCAGGAGATGAGGAGATCAGGTGATCAGGAGATGAGGTGTTCAGGTGATCAGGAGATGAGGTGTTCAGGTGATCAGGAGATGAGGTGTTCAGGTGATCAGGAGATGAGGTGTTCAGGAGATGAGGAGATCAGGTGTTCAGGAGATCAGGTGTTCAGGTGATCAGGAGATGAGGTGTTCAGGTGATCAGGAGATGAGGTGTTCAGGTGTTCAGGAGATGAGGTGTTCAGGTGATCAGGAGATAAGGTGTTCAGGAGATCAGGAGATGAGGTGTTCAGGAGATGAGGTGTTCAGGAGATGAGGTGTTCAGGTGATTAGGAGATGAGGTGTTCAGGTGATCAGGAGATGAGGTGTTCAGGTGATCAGGAGATGAGGTGTTCAGGTGATCAGGAGATGAGGTGTTCAGGTGATCAGGAGATGAGGTGTTCAGGAGATCAGGAGATGAGGAGGAGGTGATCAGGAGATGAGGAGATCAGGTGATCAGGAGATGAGGTGATCAGGTGATCAGGAGATGAGTTGATCAGGAGATGAGTTGATCAGGAGATGAGGAGATCAGGTGATCAGGAGATGAGGTGTTCAGGAGATGAGGTGTTCAGGTGATCAGGAGATGAGGTGTTCAGGAGATGAGGTGTTCAGGTGATAAGGAGATGAGGTGTTCAGGAGATGAGGTATTCATGTGATCAGGAGATGAGGTGTTCAGGAGATGAGGAGATCAGGTGATCAGTAGATGAGGTGTTCAGGAGATGAGGAGATCATGTGATCAGGAGATGAGGTGTTCAGGTGATCAGGAGATGAGGTGTTCAGGTGATCAGGAGATGAGGAGATCAGGTGATCAGGAGATAAGGTGTTCAGGTGATCAGGAGATAAGGTGTTCAGGAGATGAGGAGATCAGGTGATCAGGTGTTCAGGAGATGAGGTGTTCAGGTGATCAGGAGATGAGGTGTTCAGGAGATCAGGTGATCAGGAGATCAGGAGATGAGGAAGGAGATCAGGAGATGAGGAGATCAGGATATCAGGAGATGAGGAAATCAGGAGATGAGGAGATCAGGAGATGAGTAGATCAGGATATCAGGAGATGAGGAAATCAGGAGATGAGGAGATCAGGAGATGAGTAGATCAGGATATCAGGAGATGAGGAAATCAGGAGATGAGATCAGGAGATGAAGAGATCAGGAGATGAGGAGATCAGGTGATCAGAGATCAGGAGATGAGAAGATCATGAGATCAGAGATCAGGAGATCAGAGATCAGGAGATGAGGATATCAGGAGATGAGGATATCAGGAGATGAGGAGATCAGGAGATGAGGAGATCAGGAGATGAGGAGATCAGGAGATGAGGAGATCAGAGATCAGGAGATGAGATCAGCAAATCAGGAGATATCACAGAGGATGTAGAGTCAGCTGGACACACAAGCAATCAAAGAAGCAAATCCTTCCAGATATAGCCATACAGACTGCCGTTACCTAGTCACAACAGGAGACACAGAGATTTCTTTATCAGAGGAATAACATACTAACAAGCTGGCTAAAGGGATGCTGGAAGGCAAAGGTACAAGAAAAAGGCGATACTATCAGTGAGAATACAAAGTTAGAGAAAAGTGGCTAGCAGATGTACAAGGGGAAAGACTATACTGCCAGTGAGGCAATTGACAAGGTGTCTTTCTGAGCAAAAATGTATTTAATAATGTCTTATTTTCTGGCAAACACATTACTACTCTCCCACGTCTCACACTGGGATCTCCACTACTTTACCTGTCTATCAAAACTCTTGGTGTTGCCATCTATCCTCACAAACTTCACCTTCCGATCAGACAGTGTCTGCTGGATGCCGTCCATCATGTCATGGTGGTAGGCAAACACGAGGAACTTCAGCTGGTCGTCCTCACAGAGCATCTCGACATACTCTCTCACAGGGCCGATCTGAAAGTGACAACACAGACAAGTTGCTGAATGAACTATGCACCTCAAACAACATGTAAAGGTAAAGGTAAAGGTAAAGGTAAAGTCAGGAGATGTGAACCAGCGTCATTGCACACGGTTATAAAACATAAGTGCTCTGCCACCAGCACGGACAGCTGATAAGAATTGTCCGCCTGTGTCGTCGATCGCACGTAACTCGGTAGCTACAGCGATGTTCCTCCATTTACCCCAGAGTGTTAACTCTAGTACCCATTTCCTATAGGCTGGGTGAACCCCGGGAGCCGCCCGGTTTCGAACACCGGCCGTGGGCTGCAGTGAGTCGCAGCTGGATTTGAAAGCCAGCCTCTTATCTCTTATCGACCCCCCCTAATGCGCCCCCCCCCCCCCCAAACAACATGTGCCAAATTCTCAACCCACTGAAAATAAAGTCTGTTCATGCGTTCCTTGTCTACTCCCCATGGGAGTGACAACAAACAAACAAACAAACAAACTGTGAGGAAACTGTGTCTAGATAGAAGTCAACGTGGGTTAAACATCCAGTTCTCTTCTTTCATTATCTAATAACACATCTGAAATAAAGATTTAAAAGAAGAGAAAGTAAAAGAAAGAAAAATAAGCAAGTGGGAGAGAAATCAAGGACAGTGAAAGACAAAAGACACACAAACTCAGGACCCACCTTGGCCTCTCCACTCAGCCTATACAGCTGAGATATCAGCTGGAACACACCTGTTGGGTCTCAACACTGCCTGCAGATCCACCCTGTGGCAGAGTCGCTAGCTCATCCATGGACAGACCTGCCTGAAACACTGTCTGCATTCTTCCATCTCCCTGTCTGATTTTCTGTTTCAGCTCAGCAAACATCTGCAGAATATCCTGGACAAGAAGAAAACTGACTCATTTCTCTGTGAAACTCCCAGCAATGTCCTACGCTGGTGGCAGGTAACCAGCCCATTCATCCTGCACACCCCAACCACAGAGCTGACAGTTATTATGTTGTCTACTGTGATGTTCATTCATTCATCCTGCACACTCTAACCACAGAGCTGACAGTTATTATGTTGTCTACTGTGATGTTCATTCATTCATCCTGCACACCCCAACCACAGAGCTGACAGTTATTATGTTGTCTACTGTGATGTTCATTCATTGATCCTGCACACCCCAACCACAGAGCTGACAGTTATTATGTTGTCTACTGTGATGTTCATTCATTGATCCTGCACACCCCAACCACAGAGCTGACAGTTATTATGTTGTCTACTGTGATGTTCATTCATTGATCCTGCACACCCCAACCACAGAGCTGACAGTTATTATGTTGTCTACTGTGATGTTCATTCATTGATCCTGCACACTCCAACCACAGAGCTGACCAGTTATTATGTTGTCTACTGTGATGTTCATTCATCCATCCATTGCACACCCCAATCACATAGCTGACAGTTATTATCACAGTCTACTGTGATGTTCATTCATTCATCCATGTCACACTTGTGTTTCACAGAGCTCACATAGGCTCACAGTCTACTTGTGATGTTCATTCATCCATCCATTGTCACCTGTCTAACCACAGAGCTGCTCACAGTTATTTGTTTCCGTTCATTTATCTCCATTGCCCCTGTTGTGTTCTGTTCATTCACATAGGGCTCACACACTACTCCAATGTTCATTCAGATCCATTGACCTGTTATTATGTTGTCTATGTGTGATAGGGCTCATTCATTGTCTACTGCATGCCCCAATCACATAGCTGACAGTGTTGTGTTCTACTGTGATGTTCATTCATTCATCCTGCAGTCTACTTGTGATGTTCATTCCATCCACCAGAGCCCTGACAGTTATTCTGTCTATGTCTACTGTAGGTTCACAGTCTATTGTGATGTGCACACCCCATCCATTGCCCAGTTGTGTTCTGACATGTCATTATGGGCTCACAGTCTACTTGTGATGTTCATTCATTGATCCTGCACACTTGTGTTCCTAACCACATAGGGCTCACAGTTACTTGATGTTGTCTACTGTGATCCATCATTCATTTGTGTTCTGCTATGTCCCCAACCACAGACTTGTGAGTTATTCATCCATCCTTGCCCTGTGATGTTCTGTCTATTCATCTAGGGCTCACAGTCTACAGAGTGATGTTCATTCATCCATGTTGTCTACTGTGATGTTCTGTCTATGTCATAGGGCTCACCCCAATACTTGTGATGTTCATTCATTCATCCATTGCCCTGTTGTGTTCTGTCATGTCACATAGGGCTCACAGTCTACCACAGAGCTGATTCATCCATCCATTGTCAGGTTGTGTTCTGTCTATGTCACATAGGGCTCACAGTCTACTTGTGATGTTCATTCATCCATCCATTGCCCTGTTGTGTTCTGTCTATGTCACATAGGGCTCACAGTCTACTTGTGATGTTCATTCATCCATCCATTGTCAGGTTGTGTTCTGTCTATGTCACATAGGGCTCACAGTCTACTTGTGATGTTCATTCTCCATTGTCAGGTTGTGTTCATGTCTATTCATCCTGCACACAGTCCACTTGTGATGTTCATTCACCAGCCCTGTTGTGTCTGTGTATGTCTACTGTGATGTTCATTCTTCATCCTGCACACCCCAACCACAGAGCTGACAGTTGTTAGGTTGTCTACTGTGATGTTCATAGGGCTCACAGTCCTGCACATTTCATCCAATCCACAGAGCTGACAGTTATTATGTTGTCTACTGTGATGTTCATTCATTCATCCTGCAGGTTTGTGTTTCCAATGTCACAGAGCTGACAGTTATTGATGTTCATTCATACTGTGATGTTCATTCATTCATCCTGCACGCCCAAGTCACAGAGCTGACAGTTATTATGTTGTCTACTGTGATGTTCATTCATTCATCCTGCACTCGTTCATTCATCCAACCACAGAGCTGACAGTTATTATGTTGTCTACTGTGATGTTCATTCATTGCCCTGCACACCCCAACCACATGCTGACAGTTATTATGTTCACAGTCTACTGTGATGTTCATTCATTGATCCTTGTCACCCCCCAACCACAGAGCTGACAGTTATTATGTTGTCTACTGTGATGATGTTCATTCATTCATCCTGCACTGTTGTGTTCTGTCCCAATCACATAGGGCTGACAGTTATTATGTTGTCTACTGTGATGTTCATTCATTCATCCTGCACACCCAACCACAGAGCTGACAGTTATTATGTTGTCTACTGTGAACTTCATTCATTCATCTCTCAACACCCCAACCACATAGCTGATAGTTATTAAGTGTTGTCATTAAGTGATGTTTAACATTCATTCATCCTGCAGACAGTCTCCAACCACAGAGCTGACAGTATATTACAGTTTGTCTACTGTGATGTTCATATATTCATCCTCGGCACACAAGCAACTCACAAAGCTGAACACACAAGTTATTACAGTGTCTCTCAACATGTTCATTCATTCATCCAGCACACCCCAACCACAAGCAACTGACAGTTATTATGTCTCTCTACTGTGATGTTCATTCATTCATCCTGCACAGTGTCAACCACAGAGCTGACAGTTATTAGTTGTCTACTGTGATCTCAACATTCATCCAACTCATTAAGACAGTGTCTCAACACAAGCAACTCATTAAGACAGTCTTGTCAACTGTGATGTCATTCAGTCTCTCAACATAAGTACTACCCCAACAGTGTCTCTGACACAAGCAACTCATTAAGACAGTCTCTCAACACAAGCAACTCATTAAGACAGTCTCTCAACACAAGTAACTAATAAGACAGTGTCTCAACATAAGCTACTCATTAAGACAGTGTCTCAACACAAGCAACTCATTAAGACAGTCTCTCAACACAAGCAACTCATTAAAACAGTCTCTCAACATAAGCTACTCATTAAGACAGTGTCTTAACACAAGCAACTCATTAAGACAGTCTCTCAACACAAGCAACTCATTAAGACAGTCTCTCAACACAAGCAACTTTTAAAGACAGTCTCTCAACACAAGCAACTCTTTAGGACAGTATCTCAACATAAAAACTTGCATCATAATCATTATCATAAAAGAATTCAGTAGGTATACTGTCTTTCTGCCAAAATGTCACAGAGAGTTGCGTCAACATGTGATACACTTGTCACAACTCAAGAGTGTTGCAGTGTCTCAGTTGTCAAGTTACTGACGAGTTTCATGTTGACCACCTCACCCACAGAGTGCTGACTGGTCCACTGAATATGTGCCCAATATACAACACAGGCAACTTTACTTATGACAGTTCTGTGGTGTGCAACCCCCCCCCCCCCCCCCCCCCCCCCCCCCCACCCCCCCCCCCCCGTTTAATATTTCAACTTCCATCTTTAAGAGCAGGCTTCAGTTTTGTTTAGTTTTTTCTCTCCTACTATTGGTGTAGAAAGAGAGGTACCTTACAGTACTGTTTAGTCTTTCCTCTTCTACCCTTGATGTAGAGATACCTTACAGTCTTGTTTAGTCTTCCCTCTTCTACCCTTGATGTAGAGATACCTTACAGTCTTGTTTAGTCTTTCCTCTTCTACCCTGGGATGTAGAGGTACCTTACAGTCTTGTTTAGTCTTTCCTCTTCTACCCTTGGTGTAGAGATACCTTACAGTACTGTTTAGTCTTTTCTCTTCTACCCTTGGTGTAGAGGTACCTTACAGTCTTGTTTAGTCTTTCCTCTTCTACCCTTGGTGTAGAGGTACCTTACAGTCTTGTTTAGTCTTTCCTCTTCTACCCTTGGTGTAGAGGTACCTTACTCTACTGTTTAGTCTTTCCTCTTCTACCCTTGGTGTAAAGGTACCTTACTGTACTGTTTAGTCTTTCCTCTTCTACCCTTGGTGTAAAGGTACCTTACTGTACTGTTTAGTCTTTCCTCTTCTACCCTTGGTGTAAAGGTACCTTACTGTACTGTTTAGTCTTTCCTCTTCTACCCTTGGTGTAGAGGTACCTTACAGTCTTGTTTAGTCTTTCCTCTTCTACCCTGGGATGTAGAGGTACCTTACTGTACTGTTTAGTCTTTCCTCTTCTACCCTTGGTGTAGAGGTACCTTACTGTAATGTTTAGTCTTTCCTCTTCTACCCTTGGTGTAAAGGTACCTTACTGTAATGTTTAGTCTTTCCTCTTCTACCATTAGTGTAAAGGTACCTTACAGTCTTTAGTCTTTCCTCTTCTACCCTTGGTGTAGAGGTACCTTACAGTACTGTTTAGTCTTTCCTCTTCTACCCTTGGTGTAAAGGTACCTTACAGTACTGTTTAGTCTTTCCTCTTCTACCCTTGATGTAGAGGTACCTTACAGTACTGTTTAGTCTTTCCTCTTCTACCCTTGATGTAGAGGTACCTTACAGTCTTGTTTAGTCTTCCCTCTTCTCCCTTGATTTACAGGTAACTTACTTCATGTTAAATCAGTCTTCTTCTGTTTGTGGATACAAAGGTATCTCACAGCCTTGCTTAGTGTGGCCTCTTCTATCTTTGTTCTAGAGGTAACTTAGTCTTGTTCAATTGCTGCTTCTCTAATTCTGGATACAGAGCTGTTTTAATTGTCTTATCACTTGGTATTAACACAAAATAAGTGGATCTAAGTGCACTAGATAAGCGAACTGGTCAGAGATCGTGCTTCCTTCAGGCAGACCGTGATGACAGCGATGTTCTGCACAGGACCTGCTACATGATAACGTTGAGTCTGATCAAACAAACTACAGGTTTAGGAAAAGCCTCAAAGAGGATTAAAACTAACTCTCAGATAAGGGCCACAATAAATAAACATAATCTACCTTTTTCAGTGGAGAGCTCTTTAATTCAAACAAGATTCTCTGCCTCTGTTTGGGGGGAAGCTCGGTGAGGACGTCTGACTTCTCCCGCCGGATCATCATGGTCTGTAACTTCTGCTGCAGCTCAGTCAGGTTGCTGGCGCCACTAGATCATACACACACACACACACACACACATATGGGTTATTGGCTGGCTTCACTAGATCATACACACACACACACACATTTACATACAGGTGTTATTGGCTGGGTCAAACATGGGACACTCACACAGGAGTTACTGGCTGGGTCAAACATGGGACACACACACAGGAGTTACTGGCTGGGTCAAACATGGGACACACACACAGGTGTTACTGGCTGGGTCAAACATGGGACACACACACAGGTGTTACTGGCTGGGTCAAACATGGGACACACACACAGGAGTTACAAACATGTGACACACACACAGGTTTACTGGCTGGGTCAAACATGGGACACACACACAGGAGTTACTGGCTGGGTCAAACATAGGACACACACACAGGAGTTACTGGCTGGGTCAAACATGGGACACACACACAGGTGTTACTGGCTGGGTCAAACATGGGACACACACACAGGTGTTACTGGCTGGGCCAAACATGGGACACACACACAGGTGTTACTGGCTGGGTCGAACATGGGACACACATACAGGAGTTACTGGCTGGGTCAAACATGGGACACACACACAGGTGTTACTGGCTGGGTCAAACATGGGACACACACACAGGTGTTACTGGCTGGGTCAAACATGGGACACACACACAGGAGTTACTGGCTGGGTCAAACATGGGATTCATACATAAACAGGAGTTACTGAGCATATCTGTGTGTGTGTGTTTGTGTGTGTGCGTGCGTCCGCACCAGTGAAAAACTTCATATCTTCACTGTCTGTTCACATTTGTCTTCACGGACTGTCAACTTCAGGATACAGTTTTGTTTTTTCATCCATTTCTGAACTCTCTTGCTTTAGAACTTGAATTTTGCAGATGTGGCTTTATTTGTAAGCAGACTGTTGGCTTGAGGCCTCTTAGGCAGATGCACTCCGACTTCAAAGGAGACACCCCTAACTAGTCAACTTTTACTATATGCTTGTTAGAGGGGCATTGGGTTCCACCCCACCTCCCCCACACAAACACACACACACACACTGGTATTTTCACATTCAAAATGCATTCCACAGCACTGTGTGAGAAGACTGTTACATATTGGTATCACTGATACTCATATCCTCCGAAGTCGAAGCACATCTGGCTGAGAGGTGAGGAACCAACAGTCTGCATACAAATAAGCAGATGTGTAAAACAGATGTGCATGCAGAACTCAAGTTGTGGAACTAAGCTAAAGTCCAGAAATAAATGAACAACCAGAATTTTCCACTGGAGTTTACAAGTCAAATCTACCAGATGTTAAAGATTACCTGCTCCTCTTGTCTACAAAAAGGTCAAATCTATCACATGTAAAAGAAACCCACTTCTCTTGTCAACAAAAGGTCAAATCTATCACATGTAAAAGAAACCCACTTCTCTTGTCTACAAAAGATCAAATCTATCACATGTTAAAGAAACCCACTTCTCTTGTCTACAAAAGGTCAAATCTATCACATGTAAAAGAAACCCACTTCTCTTGTCTACAAAAGGTCAAATCTATCACATGTAAAAGAAACCCACTTCTCTTGTCTACAAAAGGTCAAATCTATCACAGACATTGACTTACTTCACTTGTCGCTTTTTGAACTTGCCAAAGTACACAGTGCAGGCGTCACAGTATCTGTCAGTGAACTGCCAATAGGAGCCAAACTGGCCAGGGCAGACAGCATCAATCTGGGAGTACAGCTGAAGGAGAGAGGAGGTCAAACGTATCAAGTGTTTATTGGAGCAACTATCGGAGCTGAGGCAGCCTAGTGTTGACCTGACAGCTGCTGTCGGAGCCATGACAGCACACTTGCTGAGCTGACAGGAGCTGTCGGAGCTATGACAGTACACTTGCTGAGCTGACAGGAGCTGTCAGAGCTATGACAGCACACTTGCTGAGCTGACAGGAACTGTCGGAGCTATGACAGTACACTTGCTGAGCTGACAGGAGCTGTCAGAGCAATCTTAAACACTATTAAGAAATGTCATGGGAAGTAAAGGTGGCCAGCACGATCCCACATCAAAGGCTGACTGATCTATAAAAGAAGAGTCAAGCACCACATGCCCCACGGTTGACTGGCACACTAAGGCTCCTCTACTGGTAGAGACAGAGTGAAATGTAGCAGCACCACTCGCTGGTAAAACAGAGAATCAGATATGGAGGATGGTATCAAGAACATCTAGAATAATTACCCATAAACTGCAATCATTCTTTAACTCTTTGAATCCCAAGAAACACATCATGTATGCTCAGCATGTCTATGTGTATCAACACAACATACGGTGTGATAGTTTTTATTTCTTCTTCTTCTTCTTTATCTTCTTGCCTTCACTTAGAAAAGATTATCTAAATCTGCAAATATTGTCTCTAGTATGAACTTCACTGTCTGTTGCAATTCAAATCTGTAATCCGTGAAGTTTTGCTTGCACCTATGTTTCTCTTGACCAAAAATTGTATTGTGATTTTATGTTTTGTCTGGGTATGTAAAAGAAATCTGGCCAAATATATGCAGCAGTAGATGCTGTATCTTTGAAAGTCATACATAGTTGCTTTTTTCATGGTGGCAAACTGGGACTCTACTCTGAAACCTATGCAGGTTACAGGGACTAAAGTTGTACGGCAGAAAAGAATTAATGCAGTGTTGTGAGACAACAAAACAAAGTACAATCATCCATTAGTTGTCGGAAAGAATTAATGCAGTGTTGTGAGACAACAAAACAAACTACAATCATCCATTAGTTGTCGGAAAGATGCTACCACAGGGGAGGTTATTTTTGGAGCATTCGGCGCAAGGATTTGCCTTCCTGCACTTCCTTATTTACTACTGATGTGTGGCTGGAGACGTCGGTGCACTGTCAGCTGGCATATTGGCTGTTGAGGTCAGCACGGTAACAAATGCTGTTTCTTCTGCATTTTAACCACCAATGAAGCATAAGCAGACAACCAACTCACACTGTCATCCTCTCCATCTTTTTAATTTCACTCTCCAGTTCCATTCTACTTTAACAGAATCTAGACAAATTCTAGGAAGATGGCAGGAATACTGCAGCGGAATGTATGATATGAATGACAGTGAGGATATGAATGATATACATGAACCAGTAACAGTAGAGGCAGAACCTGAACCTTCATTAGATGAAATTTCATGGGCAATAAGGAGCCTGAAAAATGGTAAATCACCTGGATGTGATGAGATACCAGCTGAATTGATTAAAGCGGGAGGAGAAGAAAGCATAAAAATCTATCATGCATTATGTGAAAAGATATGGAAATATGGTATTTGGCCAAAAGACTGGAAGAGAACTATCTTCATTCCAATACCAAAAAAGGGTGACCTGAAATTATGTACAAACTATCGAACTATTGCCCTGATCAGTCATGCAAGTAAAATTCTACTAAAAATTATAATGAGAAGACTGCAAAAGAAAATGGAAGAAGAGATTAATGTAGCTCAGGCTGGATTTAGACAGGGAAGAGGAACAAGAGATCATATATTCAACATGCGTTTAATAATAGAGAAGTGTAGAGAATTTAATGTAAATCTGTTCTTATGTTTTGTGGATTATTCAAAAGCATTTGACTGTGTACAACATCAGAAGCTTTGGGAAATCATGAGGAATATGGGCTTTCCATCACATATAGTGCAGCTCATTAAAATGCTCTATCAAGACCAACAAGCAGCAGTCAGAATAGATGGAGAGACATCAGACTGGTTTGGCATCAAACAAGGAGTCCGTCAGGGATGTGTGCTGTCACCGTATTTGTTCAACCTGTACGCCGAAAATATAATGAGAAATGTAAGAGATGATATAAACAAGGAACAATATGATGCCCTAAACATCGGTGGTCATGAAATACCAGAAATTCGTTATGCTGATGATACAGTATTACTATCAACATCACAAAATGGTTTAGAAAACTTATTAACCTCACTCCAAAGAAATAGTGAAAATCATAACTTATTTCTTAACACAGCAAAAACAAAGATAATGCATACAAACAAAACTGCCATGGAGAAGGAAATATATGTTAATGAGGAAAGATTGGAAGTGGTGGAAAATTTCGAATATCTTGGGTCACTGGTTACCAACAATGGTGATACAATGAAAGAAATTAAACGGCGACTATCAATTGCTCTTCAAAGACTAAAACAACTGAATAAATTATGGAATTGTACAGATAGAATTACAAAGGTCAGATTTTTAAGAGCATGCATCTTTCCCATTGCAACATACGCCTGTGAGACCTGGACACTTACTAAACAAGCGGAACAGCGCATAAATGCATTTGAATATAAATGTTACAGACAGGTTCTAAGAATATCTTGGGTAAAGAAAAGAACAAATGCATCCATACTTCAAGAGCTGAATATTGAAGAGGGTTGGCTAGTAAAGACAATAAAACAAAGAAAATTGAAATATTTTGGTCACTTGAAACGTCATGGAAGTCTAGAGAGAACAATAATGGAGGGGTATATGCCTGGGAAGAGAGGAAGAGGAAGGCCAAGGAGAAGATGGGTGCAGGATGTGGCAGATGATCTCCAGATGGGTGTATCAGACGCAGGACATCTTGCTCATGATAGGAAGGTTTTCCGGAGGGTTGTTATGGCAGCGAGATTCCGCGAGGGACATGCTACTGAATGAATGAATGAATGAGTTCCATTCTCCAAACATTTTTTGGTCCAATTCTGGAGATTTTTTTAGGTGAAAGGAGGTGTTTCGATGATCTAGATTCCTTTTGGCTTTCTCTGCACTGCGTCATCATGCTTCTATCTCCCCCATCTTGGTTGGCTGGATATTTCTTATTATGATGTTTTTGTGGCTGGTTGGTTTTTGTGGCTGGTTGGTTTTTGTGGCTGGTTGGTTTTTGTGGCTGGTTGGTTTTTGTGGCTGGTTGCTTTTTGTGGCTGGTTGCTTTTTGTGGCTGGTTGGTTTTTGTGGCTGGTTGGTTTTTGTGGCTGGTTGGTTTTTGTGGCTGGTTGGTTTTTGTGGCTTTTGTTTTTTGTGGCTTTTGTTTTTTAAAGACATGCCTGGTAGGGTGCAGTGTCACTATATAATGCTTCCTAATCCTACCCACTGACTAATAAACAGGCTAAAAAATCCACACTATAATAAATAGGTAACAGACATCAAACAATCTACAGCAGTCTGTAAATATAACGACCAACCTCGACAGGCCTGGCCAGAGCAGGCGTCCCAGACAGGAGAATTCTCCGCTTGGCTGACTTGATGAGGGGCACAACCGTCTTGCAGGACAGCGTCTTGCTGTTCTTTAGGTAGTGGGACTCATCACAGATGACCACCTGGAACTTGCGGGCTGCCAGAGCTTCCCGGATAACGTTGTTGGATGGAAGCCTTAGGAGTCCGTAGGTGATGATGGTGATGGGGCAGACAGACATCCCACTGGAACCAGCAGGGTCAACAATTTGTTGGGATCAAAGATAACTTTTTCTCTACATTATTTTTCTGACTACTCCATTTTAAGCTCAGTAATTACTGCATTTAAGTACAATAACTGTGCGCACAAGGACAGCAAAAACATACAAATAATACAGACTATCGATAACACCAGCAACAACTAAGGACTGTTGGTAAGAGACTGACCACTTCATAAAACATCTGAGCTGTAAATCCAATAAATCATTAACCAATCAACAACGGAACTTGGTGGTAGTTGGCTGTGAGCCTATGCTCCGCAGGGAGGTGGAGACTAGAGGACACTGTGTCCAGGAATCTACTGCCTGTATGATGATCATTTCCAAGTGCTGGGAATAAAGTCACTGCCCCCTTAGCAAGCATGCCACAGAAACCAACTAGATAGGGCTGCGTCCTTCAAAGACAGAGTACCTCTGACTGAAAGGCAAGGAACCAACAGTCTGCTTACAAATAAACCAGATATGTAAAATGGATGTGCACACTAAAGTTCTGGAAAAGACCAAAGTCAAAAAGTCCTACCTGACATCTCCCCCACTATGCACCAAGTTGATCTCATGAGGGAGAACATCTGGCAGCCACTTCTCCAGTTCTTCAATCCAGCAAAACTTGAGTGACGAGGGGACCACAATCAACAACGGCCACTCATCTTTGTAGAAATATGCCACAGATATGGCTTGTATAGTTTTCCCTAGACCCATCTGTCAGGCAGAGATCAGGGTTAAATGTTAGCCCACTAGTTTGGACAGCACAGTAGCTACACATCAAAACACAGGTACACATAATCAGCAGTCATGTCACAACATATATACAACAACAAAATATCTACATAAAACAATAACACAAGAGATGCAAAAACAACAGACATACAACATTAAACAGACAACAGGAAAACAACAACAGACATAGAATAACAGGCATTAAATACTAGACAGCTGGGGCAGGGCACATCTATCCTACTTCACTGATAGAAAGCGACTGACCAAGAAAACCTTGTGCTTTCCACATTTACCCAGATTCCCATGGGAAAACAATTTCCATGCAACACTTGTGGTGGTCGCAGAACCTGCGAATTTTTAACAATAACTGTATCACAAACTTTAAGTGGCCCAAATATTTTGCACCAGCTTGTTGTCATCCTCATCAAGTGCCTTGCCAACCGGCTTGGGTTATCATGCTTCACATGCCTCTGTCAGTGTATTCTTAACTATTCATGTGCATTCGTACAGCCTCTAACCTCTGGCACATTTACATACTAAAGTATTTTGGTACACAACTACAATAACAATAGACATTACAGAATAATAGATATACAATATTATACAGATAACAACAGACATACAACAATATACATATAACAGTATACATAACAACAACAATGGGCAGACATACAACAATAATGGATATATCACAATGGACAGACAAAAGACATACAACAACAAACACATAACTCAGACACACAACAATAATGGGTAAACAACAAACATATGACATCACCATACAAAGAACAACAATGGACAAACAATGATAATGGACATACAACAATGGAAAGACAAAAGACATACAACAACAAACACATAACTCAGTCACACAACAACAATGGGCAGACAACAATAAACATTCAACATCAACCCACTTAAGACGCTGGCTATGATTATGATGACAAGAAAAGGGTTCTTACCTCGTCTGCAATCAGGCACCTGGTGGGAGACAACCAGACAAATCACATTCATGAATTAACAGTTTCAATCATTATAACACTGGACAGTTTCAATCATTATAACCCTTGACAGTTTCAATCACTATAACCCTTGACAGTTTCAATCATTAAAACACTGGACAGTTTCAATCATTTTAACACTGGACAGTTACAATCATTATAACACTGGACAGTTTCAATCATTATAACCCTTGACAGTTTCAATCATTAATAAAACACTTGACAGTTTCAATCATTATAACACTGAACAGTTTCAACCATTATAACCCTTGACAGTTTCAATCATTAAAACACGTGATAGCTTCAATCATAAAAACACTTGACAGTTTCAATCATTATAACACTTGACAGTGTCCAGACCATGCAAACCAATCGAATAATTAAAATTCTAGACAAAATTTTGAATAAAAATATATAATTTCTTCGTGTGAGTTCCGCAGCCCTTTTGTGGGGGAAACAAGAACATATTCACTGCTTCTCAAACTGCATGTCTTTAGAGTCCACTAACTGGGCGCTTTCTTTGTGTGGGTTCCGCAGTCCTTTTGTGGGGGTGGGGGAAACGAGAATAGATCCACTGCTTTTCCAACAAGCGCTTTCTTTGAAGTCAGACTGCATCTGCCTGAGAGGTAAGGAACCAACAATCTGCATACAAAGAAGTCAAATCTGTAAAATGAATGAGTACCCAATGCTCAGATTATGGGACAAGACTAAAGTCCAGAGGTGGACAAACAACCAGAACTTTCTACCGAAATTAACAGCCAATTAACACAAATGAGACACATTCGGTGAACAACAATTGAAAAAATATTTTAGACATGCTAAATTAGAAAAACCCCGTCTTTACTGCTTGTATGTACCATTGTTAAGATTGGTGCATGGCATTGTCTTACGTCTGGGGAATTACGGCACACAGTTTGTGAACCAGCTCTGACTGTGCTAGTCGGGATTTTAATTTTTGCCCGTGATAAAGAAATCTATCCCCTTACCGAGGATTTGAACCTGGGTGTGTTGAGTGACAGCCCAGCACTTCTCTTTTGACATGCTAATCGTCTTTTAATTGATAGAATGTATCCACTATAAATACGAGGTAGTGAAATGCCCAAAACATCAACAATACTTCCAGTTTTCAAGCATAAATATACTGTGTACGCATTCAAATTTCTCAACTTCATAAACTTTATTAAAGAGATAAATACATAGATATTTCGTGACAGCAGGGAAACATTAGGTCCAAAGAAGGACCAACAGATACACTGTTATGGTTGGGAAGAAAGAATTTATTTTATTTTGTTTGATGGAAAATTAGGTACTTAATACAATGCCTAGGTAAAACTGATTATGTGTAAGATGACAAGTTAGGTACTTAATACCAGGTCTAGGTAAAACATTGTGTATGACGACAAGTCAGGTACTTAATACCAGGTCTAGGTAAAACATTGTGTATGACGACAAGTTAGGTACTTAATACCAGGTCTAGGTAAAACATTGTGTATGACGACAAGTTAGGTACTTAATACCAGGTATAGGTAAAACATTGTGTATGACGACAAGTCAGGTACTTAATACCAGGTCTAGGTAAAACTGATTATGTGTAAGATGACAAGTTAGGTACTTAATACCAGGTCTAGGTAAAACATTGTGTATGACGACAAGTTAGGTACTTAATACCAGGTCTAGGTAAAACATTGTGTATGACGACAAGTTAGGTACTTAATACCAGGTATAGGTAAAACATTGTGTATGACGACAAGTTAGGTACTTAATACCAGGTCTAGGTAAAACTGATTATGTGTAAGATGACAAGTTAGGTACTTAATACCAGGTCTAGGTAAAACATTGTGTATGACGACAAGTTAGGTACTTAATACCAGGTCTAGGTAAAACATTGTGTATGACGACAAGTTAGGTACTTAATACCAGGTCTAGGTAAAACATTGTGTATGACGACAAGTTAGGTACTTAATACCAGGTCTAGGTAAAACTGATTATGTGTAAGATGACAAGTTAGGTACTTAATACCAGGTCTAGGTAAAACATTGTGTATGACGACAAGTTAGGTACATAATACCAGGTCTAGGTAAAACATTGTGTATGACGACAAGTTAGGTACTTAATACCAGGTATAGGTAAAACATTGTGTATGACGACAAGTTAGGTACTTAATACCAGGTCTAGGTAAAACATTGTGTATGACGACAAGTTAGGTACTTAATACCAGGTATAGGTAAAACATTGTGTATGACGACAAGTTAGGTACTTAATACCAGGTCTAGGTAAAACTGATTAGGTGTATGACGACAAGTTAGGTACTTAATACCAGGTCTAGGTAAAACTGATTATGTGTATGACGACAAGTTAGGTACTTAATACCAGGTCTAGGTAAAACTGATTATGTGTATGACGACAAGTTAGGTACTTAATACCAGGTCTAGGTAAAACATTGTGTATGACGACAAGTTAGGTACTTAATACCAGGTCTAGGTAAAACTGATTATGTGTATGACGACAAGTTAGGTACTTAATACCAGGTCTAGGTAAAACATTGTGTATGACGACAAGTTAGGTACTTAATACCAGGTCTAGGTAAAACATTGTGTATGACGACAAGTTAGGTACTTAATACCAGGTCTAGGTAAAACATTGTGTATGACGACAAGTTAGGTACTTAATACCAGGTCTAGGTAAAACATTGTGTATGACGACAAGTTAGGTACTTAATACCATGTCTAGGTAAAACTGATTAGGTGTATGACGACAAATGAGGTACTTAATACTATGCGTAGTTAGAGAATCACCTTCTGGTTGGTGAATGTTCATGATGACAAAGATTTAGCTAGTGAAGTTTGATGCCTCAGCATTCAGACATGAGCACTGGCAAGCTTAAATAGGAGTGAGGTTGATGTAGACATGACTTCTACTTTCATATTCAAGTACTTATGTACAAAAGGACTAGATAGCTACCTTCCCTCTCCAATTCACGCTCAGGGTTAGGCAGAAAGACACTATTTCCCAGACTTATGGTATCTATCATGGAATCCATGCAGAAGGGTTGCAATATCCACAGTACCGAGCTAAAGGGTTTACAATTCATGGTTTTGGATTTTTTTTTTAAATTATAAATACTTATAAACCAGCAAGGTATAACTGTAACACTGAGACTGGGTCATCACATCTGCGACAAGTGTATGTGGTTACAATAGAACCAGGTCACCATTCAGTATATGGTGTGGCTCTGAGGCCTAGCAGGCAGATATGTGATACGTGGAACAGTTTCACAGTCCCTGGGCTTGATTTCCTTGCTGGACTGTTTGGGCAGTGGTATGAGAGGTGTACTGGGGAGAAAACTAAGGTCTCAACACATTAATTCTTAAAGACAGCAGTGAGTGCACTGCAACTAATCTTATTATTGTGGAGACACACGCAGACTTTTTATCTACAGCATGACACTCACACTGATGACCTGGCTGAGACAAGGAGTCAGTTGGGCAGGTTTCTGTCACGATATTAATTTAACTCATGAGTCCCAGGGGGTTTAGCATCACAGGCCCAGGTGATAGTAAAAGGTGAGTCATAAAATCGGCGCATTATGCGTTCATTGGGCTTCTAGGTAGGAACCTATGAACGACGTATGATGCGTTCTTTGCGACCCAAAGAGTTAATAATACTGCCAACACTCCAACTCAATATCCAGGCTGATGGAATAAAGTATTTGGCTCTCCTGTCAAATCCGGACGAAGAATAGAAAGCCTTTGATGACTTAGTCAGAGTTCTCTCCCTTGGCCGCACTGCAAACAGTGATCGGAAAAGCCAACGAAACAAACGACACACTTACCTATCATCATACGGTTGCGTGTAGGGCTGCGTACGGTTGCGTGAGGCATCGTGAAGGGATGCGTAGTCATCATACGGTTGCGTGCAGGGGTGCGTACGGTTGCGTGAGGCATCCTGAAGGGATGCGTAGTCATCATACGGTTGCGTGTAGCTATGCGTAGTGTTTGGGTTTGAGTTAGGGGTAGGGTTAGAGTTAGGGGTAGGGTTAGAGTTAGGGGTAGGGTTAGGGTTTATAGTTAGGGGTAGGGTTAGGGTTAGGGGTAAGAGTTAGCGTTAGGGGTAGGGTTAGCGTTAGGTGTAGGGTTAGGGTTAGGGGTAGGGTTAGGGGTAGGGTTAGGGTTAGGTTAGGGTTGGGGTTAGGATTAGGGTTAGGGTTAGATGTGAAAATTTTGACGTAGGATTTCGAAATACTGGCCGACAATCTGATGTTTATGGGAGTGGCGCCACTGAAACTCTGCCAAATATGACGCCAATAGCGTGCGGCTGGTGCCCCCAATCGTTGGCGAAATGTGCGTTTGGCCAGCATCCAGAGGCCCTAGATTGTTTGTATGTGTATGGGACTGTGCGCGATAATAGGGAACTCCGGCATCAAAATTGTCAAATCTAACGCTAAACCTAACCCTACCGCTAACCCTAATCCTAACCCTAATCCTAATCCTACTCCCTAGCCCTAACCTCTACCCCTAACCACGCAAATTTATCGATCATTAAAGCATACAAATCGGCAAAAACCAACAAACAAAACACCCAAAAAAAACCAGAATTGTCCTGCAGCATCGAAAAAAAAACCAGATCTGGGGGAAACAACCAAGCATTGGCAGCCCTGATGTCGACGTGACTGTCTTCTTTGTTTCGTTGGCTTTTCCGATCACTGTTTGCAGTGCGGCCAAGGGAGAGAACTCTGACTAAGTCGTCCAAGGCTTTTTAGTCTTCGTCTGGATTTGACAGGAGTACCAAGTATTTATATAAAGACAAAAACCTGAACCTGTTTCAGTTTTCGTCACCATTTCAATTCAGGAATAAATGAACAATCTCTGTCAGTTTACTTAGTCCAAATATACAATATGAGAAAGCAGACAGCAGTAAAAAATTAAAACCTTCCGTTTTTCTCGACTGCAAATCTGACACCTTCTTTCTGAAACGGCAACAATCTGTGGCGAAGTTTTTCGGGTAGCCTATCCAAAACTGGGCAGTTTCCATCGTCATCATCATCCCCCTTCTGTCTTTCATTGTTTCCCATTTCTGAATTTTATTTTCTGACGCTCAAGTACATCCCAAGTCCCGTAAAACATTTAGAAATAAGAGGGATGAGAGGAAATTGACAACACAAACACCATTTTGAATGTAGCAGACGGATGTGGAACAAAACAGTTTTCACAGGAAGAAGAGTGACGGCTATGTCTACTACGTACCCGAGCCACTGCTTACAGCCGAGACGGAATTCAGCTGGTTATTTAACTTATACGAATGGTTAGATTCAAGGCTCTCATATGGATGACCCAGGTTCGAATGCACGGTGATGGAAGGTGTTTTTTTTTTCTTTCGGGGATAAAACTAAATAACCAACCTGCACGGTTCGTGGCATCTGCGCTAGCCATAGGATAACAGCTCCCTTCATTCCATTCAACAACTATGTCGGCGTCTCTCACGATCGGGAAGGGGGGAGGGTGCTAAACTTGTGCTCTATGTTGTCCAAAGGTTTCCTGGAGACTAGATAAGGAGAGACAATTACTTCTCGGACAGACGATATTCAGTTTGTTACCAAGACTAGAGTGAAAGTCAATAGAGACATTAAATGCGGAGATGGCGCATGTATACGATAATGTACATGATATACAAAATTATGTATGAGTAACTTCCATGCGGTAACCGCTCTCAAAGTTATTAATTTGAACGGACACAATAAAAGTCAGATAGGAGTGTCAGAAAATAGGTCAAAACTTAATCACCAAGGCTCCTGGAGAATTGATCTAATACAAGCGAAGATTTTCGTTTTCTGTCAGTGTGTCAGTGCGAGAGTACTGTATTGCTGTCAGGTGATAATCTCATCTGCAAGTGCACAAGATGAGAGACGGGACTTTCCAGTATGTATCAATGGAATTCCGTGTCCTCGATTACGTCACCTAGTATGTAAATATTACAACATCCGACCCGGGTACGGACAACCACGTGATCAGACAAGGGATCAGTCAAATGTACCCAAGAACCATGACCCATTTCTGTCTGTGGGTGCATACTTTTCAATCCGGTGTGGGCTAACGACAGATACACCAAGACAAAATTGTCTGTTAAAATATGCATACTATTTAAATATCATCACCTGCCCGGCTCGCTAGCGTAGTTGGCTAAACCGGATTGCGTGATGACCGGGTGACGAACTCATTGTGGTCCGGGTTCACTCCGGGGGTAGGCAGAAAAGTCACATTTCTCCCAGATTTACGGTATTCACAATGGAATCAAGGCCGAAAGGTTGCGATACCCATAATACCGAGCCTCATGGCTTCTGGATACTCAAACAAACAAATATCATCACCTGCAGGTGTTGTGTTTTTTTTTTTTTTTTTTTTGACAGCCTTTAGCTTTTCCATTGCCTTTCTTACACCTGCGCGTCCCTGTCTCTTCTAAACAACTTCTAGCATGACGACGGAGACAGCAGCCGTGACAGTAACACTTGAATGGCTGGAGGACCAGAGAGCCACTCACGCATTGATTGTGGCGGACTCATTGAGCATGCTTAATCCAAAATGGCAAACTCCGAGTAGGATGTATTGACAGCATCATAAGCCCCGCAGGTAAATTTTACGTTGGTCTCCGATAAAATTTTACGCTCGTCTCCCCATTAACACACCACTGCACACTAGCTCGCTTCTGACTGGATGACCTACTGACCACTTTACCTAATGTTTCCTCTCCCACACAAAAAAGTGTTCGATGGTTAATTTGATAATTATTACACCAATAACCTTAATCTTTCCCCTTCCCGAACATTTCCTGTTACCTTAAAAAACTTATGATCCCAGGTAGATTTTTTTTTAAATCCTCCACAAACCTAATTTTGACCTAACGTCATGCCACCAATATTGAACTAAAACCACGCCTTCTGAAACTAGCCTTTATACCATACTCTCTAATGTTGACCTGACACCACACTATTCAAAATTGGCCTCACATCATTATATCGACATAACCACTTGTTCCCAATATTTAATAACCACATGTTCCAATACTTAACTAACCCTAGGTCCCCCAATATTTAATAACCACATGTTCCAATACTTAACTAACCCTAGGTCCCCCAATATTTAATAACCACATGTTCCAATACTTAACTAACCCTATGCCCCCAATATTTAATAACCACATGTTCCAATACTTAACTAACCCTAGGCCCCCAATTTTGACCTAACCACGTGTTCCCAATACTGAAACCCATACGAGCTTTTGATGTGTAATCTACGTGTCTTTTCTTTGTTGTATAAAATGCTGACATGCTTGAGAATCGTTACATCCTAGCACACCGGGCATACCCACAGATACGCCATCTCCCGCAGCAAATTCCTCAAGTTGTAGATACTAACTGTTGTCATGGCATATTAATTATACACACGTCGTTCTCTTCCTCTCATACGTTCCTTCTTTCCGGATCCACAAGTAATACCTCATTCGCCCATTCTTATCCTGTTTTGTCATCCAATCTCGTGTCTTCTGTCAGCACTCGCTCATAAGTTGTCTTCAGAATGCCTCCTTTGTCCAATACAGGTGTTCCTGTAGCAATCGCTTTTGTAGCCAGAAACCCCGCTCTTTCATTTCCTCGCACTCCTGCATCACCCAGACAGAATATGCACCACAGTCCATGTAATGTTAACCTGCTGATAACTTGGTATCCACTCACGCCACATTTGTAGATTTGGAACCTTCCGCTGCACCGAGTGAGAATCGGAGACAGTAATTTTTGTGGTAACTAATTTCGACTATCCACTTCATAGCTGCAGTTACCACTTATCTCCTAGATTTACGGTATATGTAATGGATTCTACGCTGAAGGGTTGCGATATCCATAGTACTGACCCAAAGGGTTTACAACTCATGGTTTCTGGATCCCCCCCTCCCCAGCAAACTCCGATGAACTGTCCAATCAGTGAACACTATTGCAATGTTCTTCAACCCATGACGATGGCCCACTGTTGGACCGTGGAAGAGTTCAGGTGGTGGTAGGCCGACACAGTAGTTTGACCCATATTGTAGCTAGGGTGAGTCGTTTTGTACTTCCAGGATTGCAGTCTGCGGATTTACATTTCAAGGATAAGAATCAAAACCGTTACAAATCACGGAAACCCGATCAACCGCATCGATTGTCTAACCTCTGAGCAGCAGTATGTGCCGCGGGAGCTGACAGATGTATTTTTGTGACATAGAATGTAACCAAACGACTACTGTCTACTTGTGTGTTTGTTTCTTTGTTTCGTTAGCTGTCAGGTAAAGCCCAAAAAAAAATCGTATGGTCTGGCTGGCGGCCGTTGTTAAAAGTTTCAGGAACACTGCAGTGTTGCATCATCTAGCCCAGCATTATCATCTATCAGTTGTTGCACCTCTGTTTCTGACGTTACATCACTTTCTTCCTTCATGATCTAGCTGTGATAATCATTTGAAGAAAATTGCGGTTCTGGATGTTCGTGTCGGCCCATTTCTGCCCCTTGTGTATTTGCTCGCCATCCAGATGGTATCTTCAGTCTGTGCCATCCATGACTTTCCACTTTTCCACTGGAGTATTCTAAAAACTTTCAAACTGCCATGCAGCGAGATCGACAAAATACACACATACGCTAGGAGAGACCTGTAATATGTCAAAGGTCAAAGTACGTAGGAAAGGAATTAATATATATTATAATTACGAATTACACACATGAATATTTCTTTGATGTCTGAAATTCTGCAGTGGGTATTTTCATGTCGCAACACCGCTCGCACACCAGCAGTTGTACTGTAATAAAAATCGATCCTGGGTCATGCGTGTCCTGAAGTGCAGACATTCAGGGTGGTGCATGTGACAAGCTTAGGTGTCCTTGTACACACCGTGCACTTTCGCTTCCCGCCCTGTCATGGGGGATCTGGGGTGACGAGCGAGTTGACAGCTAATTCTGACCCCCACCAGGCTTGGTTGTCGTCACTGGTTGTGGTCGACCACGGGGCTTGGTTGTCGTCACGGGTTGTGGTCGACCCAGGCTTGTGAACTGACTTTACAGTCCTGACTTGAGTTGTCCGGAACGCTCATCATCCTAGGATGTACAGCTATAGCCTTGGTGACAGGACATGGAGTCCTAGTAATGTAGACAAAGGATAGATTGTCCTAGAATTGTCAACGTAGGACAGAGAGTCCCAGAAAATGTAGGCACAGGACTAGGACACCCAGAAATGTAGGCACAGGACTAGGACACCCAGAAATGTAGGCACAGGACTAGGACACCCAGAAATGTAGGCACAGGACTAGGACACCCAGAAATGTAGGCACAGGACTAGGACACCCAGAAATGTAGGCACAGATTTGGGCCACCTAGAAATATGGACACAGGACTGCGGGTCCCAGAAATGTAGACACAGGACTGCGGGTCCCAGAAATGTAGACACATGACTGAGACAGCCAGAAATGTAGACACATGACTGAGACAGCCAGAAATGTAGACACATGACTGAGACAGCCAGAAATGTAGACACATGACTGAGACAGCCAGAAATGTAGACACATGACTGAGACAGCCAGAAATGTAGACACATGGACTGAGACAGCCAGAAATGTAGACACTGAGACAGCCAGAAATGTAGACACATGACTGAGACAGCCAGAAATGTAGACACATGACTGAGACAGCCAGAAATGTAGACACATGACTGAGACAGCCAGAAATGTAGACACATGGCTGAGACAGCCAGAAATGTAGACACAGGACTGAGACAGCCAGAAATGTAGACACAGGACTGAGACAGCCAGAAATGTAGACACAGGACTGAGACAGCCAGAAATGTAGACACATGACTGAGACAGCCAGAAATGTAGACACATGACTGAGGTCCCCAGAAATGTAGACACATGACTGAGACAGCGAAATGTAGTGACTGAGACCCCAGAAATGTAGACACATGACTGAGACAGCCAGAAATGTAGACACAGGACTGCGGGTCCCAGAAATGTAGACACATGGACTGAGACAGCCAGAAATGTAGACACAGGACTGAGACAGCCAG